AGCTTACATTTAATTATATTAAGACTGTTTTCCAACTAGACATCCAGACAGCCAGTTGAGAGTGTCAACTGACATAATCCCATCAAATAATTGTAAACTGGAAGTCACTGTTAGCATTACTAGCATCATGCTAGCGAACCTGGGAGAGAATTAATACTGTTTTTAGGTTATTATTTGAAACGTTATCTCTTTGGAACCAATCGGAGTAGCAACGGAGTGGTTATCAGTGTTGCCGGCAGCCTGTTACCATAGTTAACACCGTGTTTAATTGGGAGAAAACATCGAGCCTAACCGCTGATGTCTTTGCGTTGCAATTTGGAATGTTATAGGGTGCGTTATTTACAGTTCAGCCATGCAGCTTATGTTAAGTAGCAGATGGCAATGGTTTGCTATGCAAGTGCATTGCAGGTGCATAGACTCTAAATAGCCTAAGCATATCTTAAATTAAGTTCAAGTTATACTGAACTGAATGAGATCTCATGTAAGAACTAGAATTAGAAAGCACACTGATTATTCTGCCAATGTATGTTTTGTATACCATTTTCTCCGGAGCTCATGTGCCGTGTTTTCCGCACAATAAGGCGCATAAGATACTGCAGTCTATCAGCGCAAATCACTGTCAAAATTCGAGACCGCAAATCAAACATCCGCCAGCAAAAGTACGTCTTGCGCAAGGTATTTGCTCGCTTGCGAGACGTGAACTTCGTTGCTCGCGAGGAGAATCTCTGCTGGAGACGGTGCTTTCAGGGTCCGATCGATACTGCGAGGTGCGTCCGCTCCCGCCGCCCCCCTCGCCATCCACGCCTTAAATCTTCGGCTGCTTTTAGATTAACTTATTTCCCCGTTAAGATGGTTCAGCTACTGTAAATAAAGGTCGCCGTCTCTCGCTCTTTAATCTCATGAAGCGCTCGGCGAGAACGACAGCTTTGTTTCTCCGACGCGCCCTGAAAGCAGCTCCGTATCTCACGCGCTTGAGCGCCGCTCAGCATCTCGCCGTCGTAGACGAGCTTTGGCGTGTTTGGCAGAGTGTACAACCAGTATGGATCAACCCATTAACCAATCTGTTCGTTTAAATTGTTTGTGCTTCATCAATTAATGTTTCACATAACTAATGTGCCGCATCATACATATATTTAGATTAATTTCAAACTTTTCAAAATTGAAAATTAAAAACTTTTTATTTATTTATTGTAAATGACCTCTCGCGGCCCACACTTTGGGAATCGCTGATTTACATTATAAGTTGTTGATACAAATGTGTATGTAAACATTTACTCTTTACTCCCTGTTATCCACGTCTTTCATTCATGTCAGTTACTTGTTTTGTTTCTTTATATTGTATGTTAATATTTTATTTATTTTCAAACATGTTTCTGCCATTAGACGCTGCTCATCAGAATCATTTCATGTGCAGGATGATTTCTGAGAAAAGTTGCTTTTGCAGGTTCCTCTTTCTTTGACACATTTTCTATTTTCAGAGGGAACATTTTAAAAGAAAGGAAGTGTTTGTCTTTGCGAGTGCAGTGATCTACAAGATACGTTAAAGGTGTTAAACTGAAGCAAAACCGCAACTAACACACACAGTACAAACAACATTTTATATTCATGTAGTTTATTGACAATAATGTTTGGTCCTTTTTATTCTCTCAAATGTTGGTTTTGTTCCAGGGAGCAGAGATGAAAAGCTTCCTCCACGACACTCACATGATATGAATAAGGCCTTTAAAGTGGAGCAGGTGAGGTACTTTGTGGCGTGGTGCTCGTCCTCTGGCTCACGTCCACTTGCTGTGTCCACAGTTTGTAGATTTAACGTCATGTCCAGGAAACGGGGTTAGTCAAGTTGTCTCGTGTCTCGTGATTTCCTGTTTTATTTTGAAAACGAACCTCCCTCTCGTTTCAACGCGATGTGATCCTGTGAATGAACCAGTGAGCAGCTTGAGAAGCTGAATGTGTGTGTTGTGGACTGAAAGATGACGTCTTAATTTGTATTTAAAGACCATGAATAACATTCTGATTGTGAAGACATTTAAATTTGTGGGAAAAAATAGTTTTAAAAAAAACATTTGGCGGCCCCCTGTTGAAGACCTGTTATAGATTGTCGGTCATTATAATACGAGTAGATGAAATCCAGGCTTCTGATTGGTTGAGAGCGGGTCACATGTTATACAGCTGACCCGAGCGTTCAGCATCACTGCGCACTCAAAGTAACACGTTAGATTTTGCGCTACAGTTAGTTTTTAGCTTTTATCTCGGTGGTGATCGCCGAAAAAAAAGGAAAATCCCACAAATGATCATTTTCAGGCAACCGGACAGTTACGGTGGAGTCATGAGCGATGTGAACGAATGAGATGATGCGGGACCCGATGCTGTTTACACGCACGTACGGGGACTATTTTCTCTCTAAAATACTGAGATGAGACACAACGTTTGGTGGCTACAACGATTTTGTGCTGAAAGGCAGCTATTTACTTTTTATCATTTGTAACCGTTCGAGTGTTAATTAATACCTACATATTATTTATGTGTATACATGTCAAACATTCAAGGAGGATTTCTAAAAACCTTGAGGGAAGTTGATATGAATCGTAAAAAGTTTAATGTGTTTCTGCTTTGTTTTAACGTTACATCTTTTTAAAATGACTGATATGTTACAGACTTTTGAAGTATTAAAGTACTATTTAAGGTAATAATTGCACTTGGTGTAAAGAATAAGCTGAAAACTACAAAGTAAAAACTTCTGCTCGAGAATTCTTTTTGCAAACATTTATTTTCTTTTCAGTATTAAGAATTAAAGACAAAGCCTCAATACAACAATGTAAGAGATTTAGCAAGAGAAAATAACTAAATGTACTAAATGCTGGTTCAATGTGTAATAAAGTGTAATGATGGAGTAACATTCAGCAGTGAACGATTCATCACATATTGTGTGTGATGTTTATTGTATCATGTGTCTACTGTTTTTACAGGAACCATTGTGACTCCTGTGTTTGTGCTGAAGGGACGTGATCTGCTCCTCAAGCTTGATGCTGATCCTCCTGAGAGGGTTTTAATTGTTGACTGGAAAATCAATAAAACAGTCACTTTAAGAATTGCATCTAATGGAAAACCAAATGTCCTTCGTAATTCCACTGGAGGGTTTGAGTTTCCTGAGAATAAATTCTCTGTGATATTGAAGAATGTACAAGAGGTCGACAGTGGAGTTTATTCTGCTGAAGCAGGAACACTTCAAAGAGACAAACTAGCTGAATACAAGGTCACAGTTCAAGGTGAGTCTGTAAACATTTCACTGATAGTTTCTGTCGGATGAGATCCTCTGGGGCTACGAGTTCCCCCCCGTGGTCTCCCTCTCCCCATCGGGGAAGTACGTGGCGGACTTCGGTTTCTTCGACAAAGTGGCCAAGACCAAGACGGCGGCCGTCTTCAAACCGTGCAGCCCGCAGCGCGCGTACCAGAGCAACGGGGCCGGGCCCGTGCCAGATGTGTCCGATCCAGAGAAGATCCGTCTGGAGCAGAACTACCGGGACAGAGGGGGGGAACGAGGCCGGGCGAGAGACACTCCCCTCAGTGTTCGCATCAGCAACGTGTGAACGGTGACGGAGTGGAAGGAAACATCACGTGGAAACAGCTCGGACACTTTTAGACTGAATGGAACCTCTGGACGACGTCTGGGGAGATAAAACATGGAGGACGACTGTAACTCACATGAAGGCCTAACACACTGCTGACTGCAGCTACTGCTTCTATTTCAGTGTGGCGAGTGCACACACACCTCACACACACACTTTATAACAAAGGAAATGACAGGTAGAATTATTAATTTGCACAGTAAACCCCCCCATGAAATCAAGGATAACAAAATTGATCTAATCAGGGAGCTGCAGGTGAAGCCCCATTGTCTCGTTTGGCTTCTCCCCTTTTTGTCAAATCAAAAAGAGAATAATCTGGTTAAGTTAACACAGACGGGCTAGAACCTACAATACTTTCCCTAAAATAATCATGATTAATACACACATTTATAATAGTCTTATGATTTTTTGTGTCATGTCAGTATATAATATAAAAAACACCAATGAGTGATGTTAAGGCAAGTTTCACAAGACCCCAAAACACTCTCATGGTATTTTTATATTTCCTGTTGTACAACGACAGAAGACCTCGAGTTAAAGACACACAGACAAAATGACAACGCACTGTAAAATGTTAAATAAAGCACTTTCTGTTAATGTAGAACTACAAACTTCAGATTGAATATATTGTGTTGAAGCCTCGACTGAGTCTGTCGATGGTTTGTCTGTTATTGACAGTTAGCACTTTATATCATGTCATATAAACACCTGATGTACATTTGCACCTTTGGAGAATCAGCTGTTGAACTTGGGACCTTAATGTAGGAAGATGAGCTTTTTGATGCGACTAAAACACTTTGATATTAAACAACATTGAATTTGAAGCGTTCAGACACGTTTGAATAGACGTTTCATTCCAACGAAGCTTATTTGGATTTTCTTTTTGTGTCTCAGCAGCTTTAAAGTAACGACAAAAGTAGAAAAAGTTTCATCTCAAACGTCTGCGACCTGAATATAAACATCAGGTCACTGTGGTTTGCAGCAGTTACTTTATTATTAGAAGCTCTTTCTGTGTGACATGGAACCCTACTTCTATTTCTTATTACTAACATTGAATTAACGAATATTTAGTGGATCCTCGTTTTTCAGTGGAGGCAACAAGGACGCGATGAGGACTGAGGTGAGTGCTGACGATGCAACAGTGATCTTTGAGTCAAAGGTGATATTCTGATGGAAATGTGTGATGATGATGAAGCAATGATGAAGATGATGGAGTTAAACATGTGGGAACTTGTTTGTTTTTGTTAAATGACATTTAACTGAATTAAAAACTGTGGAATGTTATTAGTGTTTAAAGTGAAGAAGGACACATTTCTCTGGTTTAATTAGAGTGTTTTGTTTGGTGGCCGTACAGAGTTTCTACAGACGAGCAGTCGAAGCTGATGTTGTGAAGAGACCATTAATAATAAAATATGAGCCCACGTCATGATGTGACGGTAGTTACAAGTCAACCACATAGAGACATATATGGCTTCATTTTAACAATCTTTGAAGTAATTGGTTGTTGCTTTGAAGGGAAGTAAAACGTTCTCCACTCGTTTCATCATCATACTTTCATTCTGCACAATGAAGTCGTGCGTCGAGCTTCTCTTTGTTTCTCTGCTGACATTATGTGAAGCACAAGGTGAGGACTTTATTTTATATGTATTTTGTTGTCGATTGGTTTTAAAGGTCAAAGCTTTTATACCGCAGCACTATTTCTACAATAGAAGTTGGGTTAAAAATGTATTTTTGAATCTTTCTGTGATTCTTTGTGGTTAATCAGGATTCGTGTTGTTCCTTCTTGTACCGAGCTCAGAGGCAGGAAGTTGTCTCAGTATGAGTTTACTATTTTCATTTAAAAATCTTCCGTAATATTCACGTCTTATTTCAGTGAATATTCTAAGTGTTCCAACAGAAGACGTGTGTGATTCAGAGGAAACATTCAGGTGCTTTTAGACACTTTCTCACCACTTGTTGAAACGGGCTGAACGCTTCTTTCCCTCCAAGACAAATGTTGACCTTTACTCCTCTCAGAGTTTGACTCCTTCAGCGTTCAGTCTGTGGACGTCTTATTTTCTAAAGTCGTCCATGTTCAGTGTAGCTGATGCTGGGGGACATTAGTGTGGTGAGACGGAGGGACAGAGGACAAAGAGACAGAATGGAAATACTTTGTCACGTCAAGAAGAAGAACTTTGAGCAGCAACTTGCTCTCAGTGGGTTTAGTTTCTGCTGTTAAGCTTCTCTGTGTCCTCAGGAAGAGACGACGTGAGACATTTGAAGAGACTTCTGTCACTTCATGTTAAGCAGTGATGAGCTGAAGGTGAACCGCTGGTTCAATGTGTAATAAATAAAGTGTAGTGATGGAGGAACATTCAGCAGTGAATGATTCATCACATATTGTGTGTGATGTTTATTGTATCATGTGTCTACTGTTTTTACAGGAACCATTGTGACTCCTGTGTTTGTGCTGAAGGGACGTGATCTGCTCCTCAAGCTTCATGCTGATCCTCCTGAGGGGTTTTTACTTGTTAACTGGAAAATCAATAAAACAGTCACTTTAGTGAGATTTGATCCTAGTGGGAAACCAACTGTCATTCATAATGTCACTGGAGGGTTTGAGTTTCCTGAGAATAAATTCTCTGTGATATTGAAGAATGTACAAGAGGTCGACAGTGGAGTTTATTCTGCTGTAGCAGGAACACTTGAAGGAGACAAACTACTGACTGAATACAAGGTCACAGTTCAAGGTGAGTCTGTAAACATTTCACTGATAGTTTCTGCCGCCATGTTTCATAAATTCTTCACAGAAACCTCCCCCCCCCTCAGGACCAGTGTCTCCAGTTGAACTGATCGTGGACCGAGTGGACTCCAGCAGCTCAGAGTTATGTGACCTCCATGTGACCTGCAGGACTCACAACTCTCACATCAGCAGCACTTTCAGATGTGTCGAGTGGGTCTGCAATCAGGAGGGAGGAGAGCGACCAGAGGTCACAACCTCTGGGGCTTCTCTCCAGGTCTACCTGTTGAACAACGTGATCATCTGTAACCATAGCAGCCAGGTTCACTGGACCCACGACTTTGATATAACTGAACACCTTTGCCCCTCAAATCCTGCTGAACACCTTTGCTCCGACCATGCTGGTAAGACTGAAAGAGGAGACGACTTCCTGATAACAGGTTGTAGTTTCAGCCTTTCTGTGTTGTAAAGAAACGATTGTGTGTTTTCTGAGTGAATTCTGAGTTCTTTGCGTCTCTAAAGCTCCTCGTCAGGGACGCAGGGGTTAAATACAAACTCAAGCAGAAAGCACAGACGTGTTGTGTTTGTGAAGAATCCACCTGTGGTGTGTTTCAGGTTCCGTGTTCCTGGTGAAGATGGTGGTGGTCTCTGTGGGTCTGATCATCATGGTGTCTGCCGTCATCACTGTTCACCTCGTGGACTTCAAGAAGCACCAACAAAGAAATGGATGTCAAACCCGTCACGCTGCCCGGGAGGAAAGCTCCCACTTAAAGGTCACCTTCTAAACCCGTGATGATGTTCCACTGACTCACAGCTGGTGGCAGCAACACACCAGGAGAAGAAAAGAGGAAGACGAGCGCAGAGCAGCAAACATGGACGCAAACTATTTAGGATTTAAAGGATTTATAAATTCAGCTTTGCAGATATTTCCTGGGGAAGGAAAGACATTAAAAACGTGGACTCAAAGATGCATTTTGGCAAGAAAAAACTTCACGTAAAAATCATAGTTCACCTTTAAAACAAATGCTGATAATCCATTGATTATACACAATATATCACACACACAAGACCATGTCAATATGTTTTTGGTGAATGTTATCTTAAATGTATAATCAAGACCAACTATATTTGAGCAAAAAACCTTTAAAAATACACTGTATAATACTGCATACGGTCCTATTGACCAATAAATACACATTGTATATCTGTCTGCATGTACAGTATTTACTCGTACATAATTCTGTTCAGCAGGTTTTGTTTTGGGTGGAAACTTAGAACTTGTTAAAGCTTCATACTGATCTTGTTTCAGTGATTAAAAGGTCACGTGTTCCTCTCTGGTTTACTGTGAGTTTTTACTAAAGAATCAATGTGTGATGTTATTATAGTAAAGACACTTGATACACTGAATGACTAAATATGTTATGGAAAAATATATTTCTTAAATTCTCTGCTGTTTCACATATTCGTCTCTGTGAATTCCTCTTTCCACCAAACAAATACAATGGTTAGAAAGTCAAAATGACATAAAAGTTGAAATTATAAAAACAATTATCTCGTAATTTTCTGTTTTATATACTTGTCACAGTTAAAACATTTGATTCATGTTTTGTTTTTTAAAATAATAAAAATATAAAACAGAAGCATTTCTTACTTTTTCTACATTGATCTTAAATGTAAAATATGTGATTACTAACATCTCCAATTGTGACACGTTTGTGTAGAGGAGAATATTTCAGCATTAAAGCAGATCACATGAACTAAAACACAGAAAGCTTCAATAACGCTGCAAACTACCAGCAGAATTACAGGATTTGGGGAAACTTTCCTCTTTAATCATTGACGGACCTGGGAAAGGGTAGGGCCTTATAGGAGAGGACCGAGCCTTCTGATTGGACAGACAGCCCGTCTGTCTGTCTTTTAACAGGACTCTCAAGCGTCACGCGCTCCCGCCACACATCCAAATCCTCACGCCGAGGAATCGGACTCCGAGCCGAGTCGGCCAGCAGCCCCCGCAGCGTCCACCGGCAGTAGCGTCCGTGGTCCCCCCCCCCCCTTTATTTACTTTTATTTACGACACCTAAATATATCTTAACAACAAAACACCGGTAAAACAATGGTGAAACACTAGTAGGACACTTTTGAGACACTCGTAAAACATCGTCATCTCTCTGTGACTTTCTGCTGCGTCACTTCCCCCCTCATCAGACTCTCAGTCCCGCCAATGATTTGTTGATTGACAGAATATCTAGAAAGCGGCATTTCTCAGATTTCAGAATCCGATGCAAATAGTTAAGGCGTCACGGTACTTTGAATCCTCCATGTCACTTTCCGTCGCCGGCGAAAGGCTTCGATTTAAGAGGGTTAAAAGACAGACAGTCCGTCTGTCCAATCAGAAGGGTCCGTCCTCTGCTATCTGCTATAAGGCCCACCCCTTTCCGTGAGGAGTTAATGTTGTGTTTTCCTATTTGCTGTTGGGTTTTGCCCTCCAGGGCCACCGTACATGTCCACCTATCACAGCTCCCCCTCCCTCCCCACGTGCCTTCCAGCCTTCGCAGCAACGCAACTTGCGAACGGGTCCTAAGTCAGCAAACAATGGTAGGTGGTATGAGTTTAAAGTTTCATGGCGTGCATGATTAACGTTGAATAAAGCTTCAGGAGATGTAACAATGCACCGTTGAAAGTAGAAGAGGAAGAGGTCTGCTATTAGCACACAGAATGAGGAACAAATGGCAGGAAGGTCAAAAGGGTCATTCTCGCAAGCAGCTGACAAAACCCCTCAAATGGAAAAATGTTAAACTTCTGTTTAATCATTTCTTAGAAAACGACGTCAGGTTTTATAACTAAAAATGTAAATGTTGCAGTAGGTGGAAGGCAAGGCAATTTTATTTGTAGAGCGCTTTTCATACACAAGGCAGACTCAAAGTGCTTCACATAACATTTCATACAATAAAGTGAAATAAAATGCAGGAATTAAGACAATTAAAAACAGAAAATTAAATTATAAATTAAAATCTTATTTAAATTGTTTAATTAAAGGCAGAGGTTAAAACTGCTAAATTTTACCTACATTGCACAAGGCGAAGCTGAACATAAACGTTTTCAGTCTTGTTTTAAACGTGGTCAGAGTTTAAGTCTTAAATCTTCAGGAAGTTTATTCCAGCTGTTTGTTGCGTAGTAACTAAATGATGCTTTCCCATGATTTGTATTTACTCTGGGAAACACTAACAGATGGTGTCAGAAGATCTTAGTGATCTTGAAGGCTTATGTAGTGGAAGCATATCAGTGATATACTTTGGCCCTAAACCATGTAGTGATTTATATGCAGGGCTGTAGTGGAGGGTAAACGCACGTAAACGCCGTTTACACACCTCTAGAATTTTGGAAATAGCATTTACGCACCTATAAATAGCGCATACGCACCTCAAAGTTCCCTGCGCCTTGTATTCGTCCGTTGGAATAATCCGAAATAAACTTGGTGTAATTTTAAAACAGCTAAGACTACGTTTCCTATTGTTGAACATATAAACGCCGTAGTCTGAATCATGTTCATCTGCGCTGTATTACGGTCTGTGAGCATCCAATCAGCGCCTTGCGGCTGCAGCAGCGACACCAATCAGGATCCAGGAGGTGTGTAAACACACGTTGTGGATCAGCCCAGTGGTCCCCAACCTCAATGTCTCCAAGTCCTCCATAACTATGTACCCACCTGTTTGGTTAAATAGCCCAATATCACAAATCTCAGTTTGCCTCAGAGCGCTGAACAATCTGTACAACACAGGACGTCTTTTACTGCATCAGATAAGGAAACACTTTTGTTAAAATATACATGTGATATTTTACCAAAAGGTGCTTTTTATCTCACTGGGATTGTCATGATTTGCTGTTTTGATACAAACATCCCAACACATCAAATCCAACACGTCAACATGTGCTTCTGTTTGAGGATGGAGTAAATTAGACACCACCCAAAAGATGGAGTCACTTTATCTGCAGCTCAAGTAAAGTAAATGTACAACAGTTCAGATCTTTAAAGGGCTGTTTCTTCTTCTTCTATCACTGACCTGCAGGTTTAACACAGAAACATGAACTTTTTCAGGAAGGAGCTGCTTGGTTAAGCGTTACGTCTTCTTTAAACTAATTTAAGACATTTTTAGGATCCAAACTTTGCACCAAGGTTGTTTCCAGGTGGCTTCGTGCTGCTACATCCACACATCTGCTGCTTGCTTGTGCTCAGATCTGTGGAAAATAGAACCATTAAGAAGTCTCAAGTCACCTTTTCTTACGTGTGTGATTTATCCTGCAGAACGAAACATCAGCACCTCAGAATGAGAACTCCACCTTCAGCTCGGTGGGACTTCATGCTGGATCGATTCAGCTGGAGAGCTTCTACGCTGAGGTGGAGAAGCCTGACAGGTCCTCTTAGGGATTTAAGCCAGAAGTGCACCCCTAGTCAGGAAATTATAGTACGTGTAATAATGTTTAGTGTTAGAATTATAGTTTGTGTGATGTTAGATTAGTTATTACATTAACATGTTAGATGAAGTGAATGCAATTTCAATCAAACACAATTCATAGTCATGTTAATCATATAAACACTGTACACATTAACATTCTGTCACAATGTGATGTTAAAACCTGGGGACGGATGCCAATTGTCGTCCTTTATGGATTTCTCCCAATTTTATCCCCCAAAGAGGGTTTTTGGGGAGTTTTTTCTCCTGTCAGGTAATAAATGAACAACTTAATGTAAGGCAGCCGACTGAGGCAAATGTCTTGAGAATTGGACCACATGAACTGTCTTAAATCTTATGATGAAGTGTGATGAACGGTGATCATTAATGATGGGTTGTAATTAAAGTGTACTAGTTATAAGACAAAGACTTAAACTATGCATGCTTTGTTATATTCACTCATTGGGGCATAAAGCCACTGTATCTACATTGAGTGCATTGGAATGTGAGGGACAGATGGACAGAGAGGTTTCAGGTTACAGCTGCAGCTTCACACCTC